AATATCAGTTTGTATAAAAAATTATTTCCTTTAAAGCATCATAATTTATTTTTGGAATTATTTCTTAAACCCCAAATTTATTATTCATACTTCCCTGAAGGTTAAAAATATTTTTAAACTTTGAGCAGAGGTATCTCAGCAACTATTAGGTCAAATTCAATGAATTTTTTTTTTATTTAATTATATTGATTCATAGAATTAAACTAGAAAATTCATCGAATTTGACTTGTGGACGCTGAGATATCTTGGCTCAAAGTTTTAAAAAAATCAAACCGTCTATTAAAACAAATTGTACTAAAAATTTATTTAAACTTTGAGCGAAAATATCTCAGCAAGGCCAAATTCAATGAGTTTTTTTATTATTTGAATTCTATGAATTCATCGAATTCAAACAAAAAAAAGCTTGTCGGATTTGACTTTGTGGTTGCTGAGATAATCTTCATTTAAGGTTTTAAAAAAATTCAAAACAGAAGCTGACGCCAAAATTTTTTTTAAGCTTTGAGCGAAGATATTATAGCAACCACCAAGTCAAATTCGATAAACATTTTTTTATTTAAATTCTATGAATTTGTAAATTCAAATAATGTTTAAAAAATTCAAAATAGAAGCTTCAAAATTTTTTCTAAACTTTGAGTGAAAATATCTCAGCAATCACCAGGCCAAATTTAATGTGTTTTTTTTTTTTTTTTTTTCAATTCTACGAATCCATAGAATTCAAATAAAAAAAGTTCATTGAATTTGATCTGATGGTTGCCAAGATATCTTCGCTCAAAAGTGTAGAAAATTTTGGCGCAGTTCTGTTTTGATAGGCGTTTTTGAATTTTGAACGAAGATATTTCAGCATCCACAACTCTATGAATCCATAGAATTCAAATAAAAAAAAAAGTTTATCGAATTTGATCTAGTGGTTGCTGAGAAGGTATCGTTCTTTTCACTTATAAGATGGGATGAACAGAATTTAATTCTGAACAACTTTAATTAAAACTTAAAAATAAAAAATCATCTCAGTATTTAGCAAATTGGCTACGACAATCGTAGCCATTCGTAGCCGAACCCATCCCTATTGTTGAGATATCTTCGCTCAAAAGTTTAAAGAAAGTTTAGTACAATTCGTGGCTAGCAAAGTAATGGCAAAAATTTGAGCCTTCAAATCATGGATTTTATATAATCAAATTTGAAAAGCTTAAAAATAATTTTGATTACAAGTCCTCAATTCGGTGTATAACATTTTCCGGCCTGATTTGTCTCAGAGATCCATGACCGCCAAATTTTTGTGCCATTACTTTGCATAGCTTAGAAAAGCCATAATACCAACTAAATTGGCCAGCATTATAACTAATGCAGGCTAACTTTGTCGGTATTAGATCCTTTCGGGAATCTGTCTTTTGGGATTTTCTATTTTGTCGATCACAGAAAAAAATTTTTCTATCTCAAAATTTTTCCTATAAGACAGCTATTCGTGTCTAACAAAAAAAAATTCCTCTCATAATTTTGGTAGCAAGTCTTATTCTAAATCCTCATCTAAACCTAACCTAAACCTAACCTCAAAATCAGGTCGATTTCATAAAAACTTCGAATGAAGATATCTCAGCAACCATCAAGTCAAATTCGATGAACCTTTTTTGGTTCATTTCTATGCATCCATAGAATTGAAATAAAAGAAAGTTTATCGAATAGCTTAGTTCAAAATTTAAAAAAAAATTACATAACAGAGTTGGCGAATGGAGCCAATGGAGCTCTGAATGGAGTCAATGGATACTAGTTTTTGAGTTCCATTCACGTAACCATTGGGTTCTTGTCAACCCTGGCTGAGAGGTATGAATAATAAATTTGGGTATAAAAAATAATTTTCTATTTTTTCTTAAAAAATGTTATCTTAACAAACCTTTTTTTTTTCTTAACCCATGAATAACCTGGTTCTTTGGCTTTACTTATTTGCGTGGGCAAAAAAGGGGAACGTTAAAGCCAGAATTACTTTTTGATGCAGTTAGAGTTAATTTTTTTAATTCAGTTAGGGTTTTGCTTGAAGGATATTACGTTAGAGATAGAGCAGATTTTTTATGACTTTTTTATAAAAAATAAATGACACGTAAATTTTATAAAATCATACATCGGGAAAATTTTTTCTGCAATGTTCTGTGAAAACACAGATTTTTACAGCATCGGGAAAAAATTTCAGAGCAAATCTGCAAGAATTTTTAAAAAACAAAATTCTGCGCAGAATTGTATTTATTTTCTGTGAAGGTAGCGAATTAGCAAACTTTTTATATAATAAAAAATTTTGCAAATTTGCGTAGATCTGCACTAAAAAGATTTTCCCGATGTATATTAAAATAATTAAAACATTTAATCCATCACCATTATCATTATTTACGCGGGTAACACAAAATAGGAAATAAACCAAGTGCGTAGGATTAGGACGTTAGTGAGCTTCAGTGATAAGTTAGAGTTTCTTATATGAAAAAAACGCCAATTTTCGTTTTCTTTTCTTTTTTTCTTCTTTCGCACATGTTCGGATTCTATGTCGTTTTACTATATGAAATCGCGTAATTGACTTATTTTTATGCGAAATTTGATTGGATAAAAAGTTAATCGGTTTGTACATTTAACTGTAATCACCTGACTTATCATGCTTTTCTGAATTCAATTGGCTAATAACTTGGCTCGTAATCTTAATGTCGATCCGGAATACCCAAAATTTGTGTTCTCTGATTGGCCATTTCCTTTTAGAGGTTTGTTTTACCCACGCATTATACGGGAGGAAATTCACCCTTCGAGCCATTTTTACGAAAATCATAATAAATTTATTTTTACGTATGTACGTAATATTAAAACGTTTTTTACCACTGAAACGCGAAACTAAATAGAACTATTTATATTTACCAATTAAACATCAAATAAGATTAAAATCATCATAATAATAAAAGGCTATGATATATAATTTAAGTGCACTGATTAATAATTAAAGTTTGGCATTTTCCAATTAAATTAACGTAATTAATATGAATAATAAGACGATATAGAACGATAGTAAATGCTAAACTATCCATTAATAATCGACGCCGATCAGCGTAATGTCGATTCTGCAGTGCCAAGACGTATGTACGTTTATGTCATGTCAATCATACAAATCGTATGATAATTTTATCGTGGTTTTCGAATGGTAGAAATGAATAAAAAAAATTTCTATAGTATACCTGTATACTGCATATACTCATATCAAAGTCAGATTTTTGTAGCATCTAAAATAACGCTATTTTTTAGCAAATAGCTAGTCTTGCGCTAAGATGCGAAATTTGCTACTTTTGCACTAAACATGTGATTATTAACTTTGTTCCATAAATGAGCGTGCCGCCAAGGGAAAACCTGTCATTGGACTTTCAATTATATTTAGTGTACAGTTAGCTATTCTATGGAAAATCTATTATTCCATAGACGGTTAACTGTACACAAAATATAATTGAAAGTCCGATGACAGGTTTTCCCTTGTCATATTTTAGATGATGATCGGAAATAATAGATGAAGAACTCAAGATCAATACTTTTTAATTATTTTAGGGGTTTGTCTTTTTTATTATTCCCATAATAAAAAAAGGAAAAAGAACGGGCGAGTTTGATGAACGAGCGAGTTGGGAGAAGAGATTACCGGTTTCGGACAGGGACTGGACCAGGCGGACTTTTTATGCATCGATCTTCAATCGCGTCCAGACCAGCAGACACTATAGTAATGTACCGGCCATTTAAAAATTGTCGTCCTTGATCTAGAATTTAATTGGCCAGAATAACAATTCAACGCATGCATATAATTGTTTATACATAAGATATTCGATTAATAGATTAAAATATACTATATATATATATATAATATACTGTATTCGATTAATAAATTATGATAAACTCTAATTTGATGGATCAAAAACGACACTTCAAACAATTGGCATCGGCGCAGAGCCCTGGTCCAGACTCGTGCAAATTAAACCACATTTTTTTTATGCAATATAAAAAATTTTGATTATGAAATTAAATTAGGAATTAAAAACAAATAGCGATAACAATAACTAGCAATTATTACTATGCCACACCGTAATTCTTTAAATAATTAGGGAACTAACACTTATTACGTAAATATAACCTTCCCCAATTTGACAATTGCAAATTCTAATGTAATCAATTTTATCAATTACGTTTTTGATTACATTAAAAATTTGTAATTGTCAAATAAAAGGAGGCTATATTTACGTAATAAGTGTTAGTTCCCTTACAAGTTGAATTTAGATCAAAAAAAGATGTGCATTGGCTTTTATTATGTTGATATTAAGCAAGCATTTTATGTGCCTAAAATGTAATTGCACAAGTCTGAACACTCTAAAGGTAATCTGATATACGAGTATACTCGAAAAAAAATTTTTTACCCATTTTCAACCATTTAGAAAACTGCGATAAATGGTGTCACGTATTAAAACGGCCTATTTTGTCATCAAAATTTTTCATTTGATTTTTTGAATAGATATACCTTCAATAAAAAAAGTTTACTATAAGTTACAAAAGCTAATTGTAATAAAAAGATTTACAAAATGAACTTTAAGTTGAAATTATATATAATTACTATTTTAGATCATCACTTAAAATCAGTATTGGCAAAATATATGGAACACTATTTAGATTAGTCCATGTCTATTTGTCCAAGTCCAAATAAATTTTTATTAGACATAGTCCGAATGCCAACACTGTTTAAAATTGATTTAACAAAATTGCTTATATGTAAAAATGAACCCAAATAGTACTATTTTGTATGAGATACCTGAGACTAGTTTATTATAAAACGTGCCTATAGTGGTTTTGCACCTATCATATATTTTATTATTTTTTCTAAATTTTGAATATAAAATTTTCATGTTAGGGTTTGGGAGGGGTTATATTTTAGTATATAACAAAAAATGACTTGCATATTTTTAGATGTTCTGAGTGAATTGCTTTACTTTTTTAAATTATCTTTTTTATCAATTTGAGCATGTAATATACATCTCTTAAACCCTAATTCGGATTTTGCAAATGATTCTACAGATTGGAGAAGTAATTCACCCACTCCCGTGTTGCGATATGGTTTCAAAACTGATAATCGACATATTTTACCTGTTGTGGAAGTAGGAGAAGGATAAGGATGTATTCGGACAGTGCCAATGGGAAGAGATGATTTTAAAGCTAGAAAATGATGGCATGAAGAAGATTTATCATATCTGTTATGTAAAAGGTTAGCGAGAGGTGTAAATATGAGAAACTTTTGAGATATATAATTCTCGCTTCAAATTGATGTTTGATCTTTTACGAAACAACTTAAATACTCACTCATCTAATTCATTTGCTGGATTACAATTTTGTTCTTTAACAAATATTTCAGTCCTTATTTTATAACATTCATTTTGTTCTATTTATCATTAATTTTAAGAATTATGCTCATAGTAATTAATAATCAATTTATTATCGCAAGTTCGTAAAACCTATATACCTTCTGTAGTTGAAACGTGAATGATTTTTATATCATCCATTTCACTGCGTTGTTTAGTTGGGTAACAATAATCTGATGAATTAACGTCTGTTAAAAATTTGAATTAAAAATGATATTTGCATGTGACTATAATGAAAATCCTTTACAATTGTCACATGCAGATTTCTTTCATAAAAATTTAAAAAGTTCGGGAAAATGGCACTCTTCACAACAACGGTGCAAATTTGTACCTTTTGTTCAAATCACACTGATCAATTAAAATGAAAATTTTTATTTTTATTGGTTCTATTTTCTTCTAATTATTTTGACTTTTACTAAAACGCATCTATGGTGTTTTACACCAGGGCATAAAATACCTATTAATTTACTGGCCATTTACTGCGCCGATGCCTGTTTATTATCTCAAAAACTGGCTAATTAATCAAGGGGTGTGATCAACTAGTAAATCAAAACTATATATATATATATATATACAGTATGTTGCAAAAATTTTTATATAATTTAGATTTGCATGATCTAAATTTTTTGTTTTAGATTTTT